TGAATGGGAACGGTTACCTTTCCGGATCAAGATTCTTAATATCGTACTGAGCAATTAGGAATACAATGATGATGCAATGTATGTGCCCTAATATTGCAAACGAGGCTAAAAATCTACTAGATTGCTCATTTTGACACAAATTAAACCTTTTAAGGAAATGAATGATTTTGGCTTTAAAACGGAAACGGTAGAATTATTGTCTAATGGACAAAACAATCTAATGAGCATTTTACTTCATCTCTACCGAATTATTTAATATGCGTAAAATGTCTTCTCTCTCTAAGGTGAGTTTTTAGACGTGGAATAATGCAAAATTAATTCGAACTATGTTTAGTGCATTAATTTTGCATTTAAAATTCAAACCCTCAATTTCCTTGTTTGAAGAACGAAAATATATTGCCTTATACTCATCAATATTAAATCCTTTCGAATTTACAAATGCCAAGTCAATAAGCGTTCACCAATATAGCAAGTATATTAATTTAGATATGTTTCTTAGTTAAGACTTGACGGTAAACTAAACGTCTCTTAATATTTATATCATTTCTAAGTAGTGAAACAATTTCATTTTGAAACCCGTTTTTGTGCTTTCACCGCTCTCTAGCTCCATTTTTGCCGGCCAATCATGCAGACAAGACAATTCGTTTATTTCAAGAAGATAATTTACTAATAATAAATGATAAAGAGTAGTTATGTATGGAACATAAAACGAAAATAAACGAGAATTTGATTGGATAAAAAAAAATTATTGCGTTTGGTACATTTTCAAAGTGTGCATCAATACTGACTAAAAATGTTTTATTTCAATCATTCACTTATATTGACACTTCTATTTTCCCCTAAAAACATTAACATATATGCTTGAAGCCTACTGTGGTGACAGTTTAAGAAATTATCCAATTTAAGATACACAATAGTTGCTTAATGAAGTCTGTAGCGTAACGTTCAAAAACATATCAGAATACAATTGTTATGAAAGATTAATAAATCGGCCTTGACTCTGCTTGTTGTTAATGAGTTTTCAATATCTATAAGGACATTTGATAAAATAAAATTTCATTTTCTTCATTGCCCATCTCAACAAAATTTTAATTCAGAACTCTCCATCCATGAACGTCGGTACCTTTATAAATGCCATTTTAGGTACGGAAACTAAATTGATTAACACATAGCGATTTAGTATTTTGGAAATTCCTAGAGAATTTATAAATAATACATTTATATTTTAACAACTTTGGTAAAAGAAGGGACTTTTTAATTGAATGCCATTATCATACAAAATCCTTATTATTATTTCATTCCTAAATAAAAGCCAACTAGATGCGGGTGATAGTATATAATAGCTTTTTGATTGTTCATTTCAGGACATAAATCGTTGTTGATTGCACAATTTAAAAATCAAAATTTTTGAATTTGCTAACGCAGACGATATATTCATATAAAACATACCACAACCATCACCACTAGAATATTGCTTAATATTCTTTTGTGCTCATTTCAAGTAAAATTTCTTTTCAACTGGATCTTGCGTTGTTGATAAATAGATAGCATCATTATTGACTCTTGACAGATAATTTAATTGCGTGCTTGATTGGATAAATAGTTTTCCTATCAAACTTATAAATACTTTAACTACCAATAATTAAAAAGAGATGTATAATTAAATGTTTAATTAACTTTAATTTAGTAACAGCCTTATGCAGCCTACATTTAAGCATTAAAACTTAAATATTTTCTATTGCCAGAACAGGTTTTATATTTTTCAACGAGAGTTTTAAAATAATTTTGTTATGAATTTGTTGAAACAATCGCATGTATCCTTTATAACTATTAATGGATGAATGCCTACGGTTTCACATAGCTATTGCTGGGTGGTCACACTTACTTTGGTAATAGTTACATCCAGTCCTGAAATATGCTAAACACATCAAATGGAAGCAGGGATATAAACAATTACGGGGAATTTCTTAATCGATTAAATCTGACCCATAATTTGAACAAGTGAAATAACTTTATGAGCCTGAATAAAAAAAACAATTTCAATAGTTTCATACGGAGTAATTGGCACATCCAGATATCGAAAACTGGCGAAATATAAATTAAAGTTTGCGATATATCATCTTTGAAAAAAACTATTTTAATGTGATTCGTTTACTTTGCCATCTTTGTCGGTGCTTCTCTGCTCTGGTTTAACGTGCTCTTTCTATTAAACCATATTTTCTCGACTCCAGTTTTCAAAGTCTACTCTCTTCACCTTTCGTATTTACCTTTCCACTACAATTTGATCCAACCTCCATCATTCCGCTGAGTACTGCATCGATGTCCTTCATTTGACCCTTCTCAATTACTATTATGAAATTTATGGCCTGCTTGTTGCACTTCAAAGATCTATCGCTTCCAATTTCTCTTCCATTCCAAAGACCATCCTTTACCACTTTTCAATCAAGTCTTTAAACTCTAATTGTTGGCAATTTTGGTTTGGTACTTCATATTGACTCTGAGTTTACCAAAGAACTAATTTTAAACCTCATAGCTTACTAATATCAATCCTCCAACATTACGTCTTTCTTCCAAAAACTCCAAATGATGTACGTGTACAGATCGGCAATTCTTTCTTGACTCACAGTAGTTAAATTCAATAATATATCTGTCGGAATCGATAGATGAGTAAAATGTGTCACCATTATACCCCACTTGATCATCATGAGATTCTCTAATTGATAAAATACAAACACCTTTCGATTCAGTCAAAATGCGATCATATTGTTTCGTTCTTGAATATAGTATCGCTTCAACACTAACCTCTTCAAAGATTCCATTTTACCTCTCGACGCTAAGACCATGCCTTTTCAGAAGAGGTAGCAGGCATTGCCTCAATGGTAATTGATTGATTTTTAATTCTATTGCTAAGGAGATCGCAAACCAAGTATTAGAAGCAATATTGGGCATTCGGCAATGACCATTAAATTGACTAGTTTCCATAACCATGATAGCTGTTTTCATCTTGAATAATTTTTTTTTATTACTTTAATGTAACAAATTGGCTCCGACGTTGTTTCACCCATTCATCGTTCATAGGAATGTTTGAAGCGAATCATAAGCTGCATTTATTTTAAGGAACTGACGCTGTGAATCTAGATTACGTATATATTCTATTTTTTGAAATGATATTTATTTTTGTTATTAATGAGCATCACAGTATAACTATTTTCAATTGCTACAAGAATAAGGCTTTCCTTACCAAGAACCATCATCTCTGACCTGATTATCGCGTATGCATCAGCTCCTTGTATCAGCATAGCTATCTCAACAGAACGTACGATTAGCAAAGCGTTGAGTACAGATTATGCTCGCGGCAACTTGAATAAATATAGAAGGCTGATTAGTTGAGATAGAAATGATCATTTTTTTCATCCGGCATATTTTTCTTCCATTCACTATTAGACTGTTTTTTTCTTGCAGAAAGTGTAGCCGATAGCTCCAGCAATAACCCTTGACTATACTCAGAAATCTTTGTGACAGATTCCGATATGTTTGCATAAACTCTCAGAACTAGATAAGGTTCCGCACACCTTTAAGGAAAACAGGCGTATCGCACGGAACAACATTACTGCCAACGTAACAGGGTATTTCTGTGTAGATAAATGCTCAAGAATGCAAGTGTTTCCTTATCTACGCATTTGGGGTAATAAACTGATTAAATTGTTCAACTTTGATAATTAAAATAATTGGATTTTCAATTTGCATATTTCTTTCCTCCATTAAAATTTTTCTTCATCTAAAGCAAAACTTTATTTTAGTAGAGAGGAAAGGCATTTCAATTTCGCAGTTTTATTGTTCAGTTTTTTCCAAGGAAATAGATATTTTCAACGACAGTGCGTTTGAAAGAGGAAAATGACAGTACCAATTGTTGATCCGTGGAGAGAAGATGAATCAGGGGAGATCATTTATTGTCAGTAGTCGAAGGTCTTCTCTTTTATCCAATTCAGAAATCAATTTCCAAAAACACTTTTCCCTTGAAAAGTTCTAAATCAACAGTAAATTTGGGCTGGATTAGCTAATCGAACTTTATTGGGCTTCAACGTCATATAGCTTACCTTGTTTTCTTGTTTGAATTTCAATTCATATATTATTCCTTCGTAGACTGCATTTTGGAGAAAATAAAAATAGATTTAACTATTAAGTTAAAATGACTGATCTTTAATAGTGTCTGGTAAATAATTTTATTGCAATATATACTAACAGAATTTAGGTATCAGCACTTGCGTTTAAGCGAACCACTCAATTTAGGAAAAAGACAACACTGGTATGAATATTCAGTTTCGGTAGGAAAGAATGGTGTCTGAATCAGTGTTGAACTCAATATCTGCCTACATATTAAATGAGTGCGGCTTTTCTCCCCTAAAGATAAATTTATCTCTTTTATTTTACAAAGTGCCAGATTTCGGAAAGCATACCTATTATGCTACAATTCGATCAAGCTGATATATTTTATCTATAAACTTTGAAAATTGTAAAGCTGTTGTTGTTATTTGAAACTATCCTGCAAAATTGTTGATATATGGGTATAGATTTTACCTGATATACAACTTTCTATTAATCTATCCTTCCATTGATCAGCGGAAATCAGTGAGAAGGCTTAAACAAATGCCATTGTAAAATCAGCGCCACAATTAATAAGTCTTCAGTTTCATCAGAAACTTCATTCAGTTCGACCAATAAAACTCAATTGTAGTTACTCATAACATTGTGTCCAGGAGATTCGACGGTATTGATACTGACTATTTTAAGTGAATTTTTATTCTTTATTTGAATATACTCGAAACCACTTATGACATTAAGAAAGACCACTGTTTATAAACAGAGAATCTGAACTGGAGTCGAGTTGTAAAGAAGGTTATCATGTACAAACATAAAGATCCATAGAAAAGATTTCTTAGGAATTCAATTGTCAAGGCATTTTTTTCAAAATTCTTACTTAAATACATGACTAGTACATTCTATTGAAGGAAAATCACAATTTTTACACTATAAAATTTCGCTTTTTTCAAATAAAAGTGCAAAAATGAACTTAACTCACTCCCAAACAAAAGACTTCCATTGAAAGAGATCATCGATCGTGGACAAAAAAAGGTTTTAGTCACTTCGGTCCACTGGGGAGGACCTTCAGTAAAAATGGATAATATCTCAAGAGGAGGAGTAGAATTTGACAAATCACCGGAAACGTATAATTTTCCATTGAAAAATTCTGCTGATGGAAATATCCTCGCATTAAGCATAGGAACGATTTCACACCAACTGCTTGAATACCCAAGAGGCGATGAATTAGTTAAAAAGATTTCCGCGATGTTCACGCCCGGTATATCATCTCCAGTTTCTTTGCACCCCCCAACAACTATGTCACCAACACCGGGAATATGTGCCGCTCCTGTGCTATGTCTTGGAGTTGGCATTGGGGGTAGTTTCTTCCAACTAACATTAAAAAAATGTGAAATATGGGAGCAAAACTTAGTGTCTTGTTAAAGATAGTTATAACCTGAAAGTTGAAATCATCAAAGGTCTTAAATCTCCTTTCTTATAATAAGGTAAATTCTACAATCTGTACTAAAATTCTGACAATCTGAATAATCAAATAACTATTGATTCGCTATTTGACAGGTCTACAATTGTCGCCTATACGAGGGAACTTTTATTCAAATTTAATACTTTATTAAGGGATTTTCCTTCTGAAATCCTTAGTAGGCTAGTGAGTTGTATCAGAACTTTCTATCTGGGAATAAATACTATAACATTGCCAATAGAAATCAAGTGATAGAAAGTCATTCTAAAACTCAGATCAGACACACAGTTTGACGCATAAATGTATTCGTAGTCCAGATCAATCCACTTATCACTCCAGAAAAAATATCTCTGAATGAGAACAGGTTAAATATAAAATGCTTACGTGTTAGTTGCAGGAATGAATTCCTCACAGGAGTCTAAAACTTTTTTAATTTGCGAATCGTTCCCTCCAAAAACTATAATTGAATGATGTCGAGCCACTGCAGAGTGACCTTCTCTCTCTTTTATCATTGATCGGAGTACAGTCACCTCACCATTTTGTGGATTGATCATTTCGACTCTTGATATACTTTCACCAAGCTTATTTTTGCCACCCAGAGCATAAACTCTACCTACAAGGGGAAATAGAGTAAGTTGTAATAAGCAAGCGAAGTTAGCTTCAACCATCCAAAGCAACTGTGCAGCTGTTAGGTCGAGATTCTAAAGGGAATGAAAAATTTCTTTCACCACTTAATTCAGGAATTGCCTCCAAAACACCACTCTTTGAATCATCTTCACGACAATGCATACAGATTAGTGCTTTTGCTCTGCAATGAAAAAACAATGTAATATGTATTTCATATCAAGTGATATAGACAAATATGAGATAACCTATTCATTGCCGTTTCATTCAACTTCATAAATGCGTTCAGAAGCATTCTTCTAAATGACCAAATATTGAATAATGAAAATGATATAGTACCTTGCATTTTCAGATAAATTTAAATCCAATCCACCCACTGAAGCTTCAATTACAAACTCTCTCGGCAATTCATTTAAGTCGATCATATCCAGAAGACGCTCAAAGTGCTTTTCACGTTCAGTGCGATCGACATTCAAGCAAGAGCCATGCAACCATGTGCAGAGTGTTTTGAATTTCGTTGCTTCATTTTTATCACATATCCAGGGACTTTGAAGTAAGATTTGAAGTTGGTTGTCTCCTACGTGTTGAAGAAACCTCTTGCTGGAGGCTAATCTTTCAAAATCGCATGCTATCCTTGGTATGCACAAGTCAATGAGATTGAAGTTTGAAGTAATATTTCCTGCTGACCAAACCTCTATCAAATCCATTTGATCAAGTCTACAAGGCAAATACGTCATGTGTATTTTCAGAGGTAACAAAAAAGTTAGACTTCAGTTTAGTGATTGTTTTCTTACATCTCTTGCAATAAACTCTAATCCTACAATCCATCCTTATCATGAGTGCTTGCTTTAACGTTCGGGAAACCGATTCACTAAAACCCCATATATAACTGATTATTTTATAAAACCTCAGGCATTAGAAAAGTGCACATTCACCACTGTTTAACAGATACACACACATTAACTCACATGCTTAATTAGTGTATTTTGGTTATAGTAAACGGGCCTTGTCATTATGAAATCCGTTGTCCAGTCAATCAGCTGTTTGCAACCAAGAATGTGAGCCATCAGATACATTCCCAAAACGTTTTCAGTATTTATGATTATTTCACCAGTGTAAGCAAAATCGACGACTGCCATAACAATACTAATGAGTTTATAGTGTCATAAAAACAATGGACCAACTCATTTGGAAAACGTCTCCAATTTGAGAGGTAGGAGTGACTATTGTTTAAGATACTGTTTTTAATTCCCGGAAATTGTGCACAAAGGACTACTTTATGGGCAGGAATAACAGTGCCACCTTTGGTCTAGAAGAAGAAAAGTGTCATCTTTGACGTAAATGTGCATTTACAATTATTTGCCAATCGATTAGCGCCGTTTCTTGTCGTAATAGATTGAAACCATCTAAGTTATTAGAGAGAAGGTCATGTTTATTTTTTCGGATCTCAGATGGAAATTGCATCATTGATAAATCAATTTGAAAGCAGAATGGTTGATTGCCCTAAGAATGGAAATGAAATGTTTTGTTTCTTTTACTGATTGATGAAATCAAGTACAATATACTTTTACGCGTGAGGTGTACAGGAAATTTCCGACAATATAAGGTTGGCAATCCAAATATGTTCGATTGAACATTCTCGAGAGTGAGCTGTCGTGTGTGTACAGAGGACTTCTCAGCTAAACCGATATTAGTGCCAATTGAAGCCATGCTTAAATAAATTAATTGAATGATCAATGGAGATCTCTGTTTTTGTTATACCAGTACCTTACAATCAACTCATGACGCCTCTACTCATGACTCCAAATTTCACAAACAAAATATTCGTGAAAACTTTGCAGCCCCCTTACCCCCACAATTTGATCCAACCTCCGCCATTTCTCTGAGTACTGCATCGACGTCCCTTAATTTGTCACTTCTCAATTTGCGTCACAAAAGTTATGACCATCTTTTTACTCTTTAAAGACATGACTCATTCATTTTCTCTTCCATTCCAGTCTTACTCTACGTTACATATCACAAAAGTTCTAATTAATATTTCAAAAAATCTAATAATTCTAACTGGTTCTTCAAACTGACTCTGAGTTTACAGGTTATATTGAAATAGTTGCTGCCTGACAAACGAACTCTCCGAAAACTAAACTAAGTGTTCATTGGGATTTCTGAATTCAAAATTCATTTTCAATAAAATACGTCGACTAAATTGCTTGAAATATTGAAAGAAATGTCCCTATTACTTTAATGTTAAAGCATTTTAAAACAAATATGGTTACTCATTTATTCAAAAATAGTACTGTTCGGAAAAGAGAAGCACTGATCTTCGTGTTTTATCACAGTGAACCCGTATTTTTTGAATAAAGAACACTAATCTTAATAAAAATTCATTCTTGTAGAAACATTGTTCGATTTGGCTTCTACTGCATCATCGAACTCAAATTCAGATCAAAGAGGTCAAATATAAACTGACAAAAGGACGTCTGCACCGACCTCTTTTATTTTAATCTGAATATGATATGAAATTGTTTAATAATTAAAAATAAACATTTAGCTTTAGTTGTTAAAAAATAAATTGAAACAGTAAATATCCTACTATACCACTTAGATTATTTCGTTAAGAAAGTTTGCCCCATGGTCCGATCCGTTCCATGTCTCAATCGATCGCTGATGTTGGAAATGCTTCAGGAAATCCAAGATATGAGAAAAAAAGCTACTGATATTAAGGAAACAATGCACTAAATTGGCATAAACAAACTATTGTTAAGGAATATAAACTTATTCGAAATCGTTATACTGTAACACACGCGATTCGTAAATGTTACGCAACTTACTATATATTTTCTGTTATTTTACAAATAGAAATTACATTTGCCACTGATTTTAAGTTTTCTGTTCCAGCGTTAATCAAATTAGCTGCCATTCACTGTATTCAGGCTTAACCTATTAAAACGCCTAAAAGTTTGAATTTTGAAAATTAGAGTTATGATCAGATTAAAATTTTGACCTACATTTTTGTTTCAGAATTACAACGAGCCTTCACATTCTAAGTATGCATAAGAAGAGAGCTATACCAAAAAGTATTAGAAGGCGCATGTTCAGACAACGCTTGCGTAGAAAGGCATTGGAAAGGCGTACAGGATCACTAATTGTCAGAAAAATGAATTTTGGCGTGCAAACGGATCTTTCTTTTATCCATTTAGAATCTTCTCTTCAAACCCCAGCCAGTGAAATGCCACGCGGTTTGGAAAGAAATGAAATGACCCGATTGAAGGAGAATCCAAAGCAGATAAATTGCTGCGATTGTACTTATCAGCATGCCTTAAGAAACAAAGGTGTAGCAATACTGACAGGCGCCTCACAATTTCAATCCTCAACCAGAGACCTGGCCGAGGATGAGAAATGTACAGGACGGGATAATAATGAGAATATTTTGGAAACAAATTGTCATGAGTTGGATTTGAATCTGGAAAATTTCACTAATGTTGAACCCAGGGTTGCGATTTCCGGTGTAGCTACTCCTACGGGTGGTAAATTTGAGTCACTGACTCAGAAAGCAAAGTTGCTTGTGACAGTACAAAAACCGTCCAATAAGAGTAGACAAGAGGCCATTCTCGATACTCAAAGAAGTAGAAGCTATTGTGATTTCAAATTTTCTTCCCGCAACCGAGCAGTTACAAAGCCTTTAGAACCCTCTACTACTCTAACAAATATTCATTTTTGCAGAACGCTTATGGCTAATTACCTTACCACTCCTTCCTATATGACTCCGACCATTGCTAGTGTAAGAAAAAAAATTCTTTAATTTTGAGAAATTGCTGCTGGAAAATGGATACAAGGCAACCTTTTCCAACACGAACTTTCCGTAGCTAAAGCGACCTTAGAAAAATCACGCAGAAGTTTGACTTTTGATGGTAAGATTAGAATTCTGTACTTATTACTGAAGAGAATCAGATGAAAATTTAAAATTATTTTTCTGCTTTAGAAATTACATTTTTAAAGGCTAATCTAGTACCTAACATTCCTACGGGCTTAATATAAATGTGTTATTCTTTGATTCGTTTCATGCAAGCAACCAGTTTTTGAAAAGATTCTGATCAATGTAACCGACGACACCAGACGAATTGCTATCCTCGGTCTTCCTCTCCTTACTCCATATATTGCCCTAATCATTTAGCCTAATATAATCTTATATTCCTTTCCAAAACACCGCAACAAAAAAGCATGTAGTTGTTAATGGTTCATTCAAAAAGGAATGCAACCAGCCAATGCTATATTTTTAAAGATGTACATATTTTTATAAAGGCAAAATTGGAAATTTGGTTCTTTTGTGCAAGCTAATCGAAAAGAAGGGAGAAGACTCAGGTGGCCCTCGTGAATATGTTTAGCTTCTGATAACTGACTGCAGGTTGTAGATTGTGCGATAACTTTGTCTTTGATGAAGCATTTGGTCTAATTCTTTGATGTTTCAGTAACCGAATGCCAGAATTTGTCCTTGAAATACCGTGCTCACATTCTTTGGAGCATATCTTACACGCTTTGCTATTGTTTTGAAGTTTTCACTCAGCATATGATCTCGATAGGGAAGAGAACGTAAGTCTAAAATTAGCGAAGTCTGGTGCAAAATATAACATGTTGAACTAGATAAAAGCATTTAGTGAACAGAGATCACGTAGCGTCGGCTTTGGAAACGTTCTTTCTTAATATAACTTTTTACAAGCATGTTTATCACAGGGCGCCATCATAGGCTGCCAATGTTGATTTAGTCAAAATGAGACATATGCACACTTTTTTTCTTGCGTCTACTTCATATAGCAATACTTAATATTATTACTTCTTGATCACCATCATCGCTAGTGCAGCCGTATAGGACGTCAGAAAGATGCTGGCTTGCATTAACTTTATTCACAGGTTTCGGAGTGTATCGACTAAGGAGCTATACGTTTATACCTAAGTGCAATGTAATGAAATACCAAAGCTGAAGAATGACCTCTCATGCTCACTCATACAGATATAGGCGATATTTCCATAGGGAGATTTCTGAGATGGTCAAGAATTTACCAGTGTAGCCGTGCGCTTTAAATATCAATTAGATTTAAAATGGTTCGGGATAAGTACAGCAACCTGTGTTAGCAAAACAAATATATCGGCGTCAATATTTTGACTAGTTCAAATTAAAAATGTGTACAAAGGCAGTGGATCCATATATTTGGAATGACCAAATAATGAAATTGAAAGTAATTACCGGTTTGTTTAATGAATCGCTCAGTAATATTAATATATTTTAACATAAACCAATTTCCTAGCATTTATTTATAAATTAACACACTTCCACATAGCTATCTTTTTCGAAAATTCGAATTAATAGTTGAGTGGTGAAAGATCTTTTTCTTCACATTTGGCATGAACGTTGACACAATTACTCAACCTGAGTGCCAATGAAAGGTAAACTGACAAGAAGGACGGATTACCGTTTTATGTACATTACTTATATGCCTTTCTAAATGATGTAGCTTTAAAATGACAAAACAAAGTTTTTCTCATTGGAACAAAACTTTCAATTTGTGTTAACCGTAAGAAGCGCATCGTACTTAAAGATTTATACTCAATATTTATTAATTTCTTTAATAAATATAAATAAATAACGTTTACATCACAAATGATATATATATATATATCCCCTGTTTTGCGAGGTCCATCCAGTTTTGGAGGGGGCGAGAATGTGCAACCTTCCTTGATTTCACATCTTCCGAAAATATTGATTATTTATTGAAATGGCAGGCGTCTTGATAATTATCATCAGTCCTTTAATTGACTTTAGGCTTCACATAGGGGAAGGAACATTAAATTGAAAAAAAGTCAAAAGGGGAGGAACGGCATAGTGTTTCAAAGATGTAAGAGACAAACACAAAGGCAGAAATAAGGTGAGGTGAGTACTGTGAAATAGTCGAATATGGCATAGAGTGAGGTGATGGTAGTTTGAATTGAAAATAGATTATTGTTTCATTCACATATGCACACATACTTACACATTTGTAAATTACTTTTTCAAATAAACATTCTACTAGAATGTGTCAGTAGCAATTATGGTTTTTAAAATTATCTTAATCCAAAATAGGAGGCAAAAATCATTTTCATTCGATAATCACTTAATTTAAGAATTTGATTTCAAAAATGATCAGTTTTGGTATTATAATGCTGTTTTTGTATATGTATTGGATAAAGCCAACTGAATTATCAAATGTTATTACTTTTAAAATTTCATAATCTTGTAGGCGATTACAGCCTACATCCCAATAATGCAATTTTATCGTATGGAATAATATTTTAAATATTTTTACGCAAATTTTAAGAATATGTTCATAATATCATCGCTTAGAATTCAAGACAACTAGTGTAATAAATAATATTCCAAAGAAACGCTTTTGTAAACAAATAGATGAAACTTGTATAACAAAGGCGAAGAACTTGGAATTTTCCGTTTAGCAACTAATTTCATACTGAAAATTCTTTCTGCCAGTACTGCATGAAATTTTGGGCTAAAATTAAATAAGCGAAAGTTAAATTTAGTTAATAATTGTTAAATGATATTAATATATTCATAAATAGAATTATTAAGATGCGCCAAAAGTTAAAAGGAAAAAAAATTTTAAGTGGAACAATTTATTAGTACACGATTGTTTTGTTTGGCATTTATGCACATATTCGGTAATAATTGTGAATGATTGTGTCGGTGTTATTTCCATAAAACCATTTTTGTGTTTATGGCCTGCAAGCACTACGCAAAACATAATTAAAATAATGAATATTTTTTGGCAAACCGCTAACGTTGAATTAAATCAGTAATTCGAAAGAACCCATTAGCATAAGTTTTTGATTAATTTTAATTTAATTAATTATTTTCGTCTTGTGCATCAATGTAAATCTTGAGTTACATTGTCATTTCTTATCCATTGGAATTTAAAATTAATAACGTTAATTTTTTTTATATTCTTGGCTTTTGAAGTTAATTTCACCGCTAAACGTGATTAGATATTGTAATACCTCATTCATTTCTGGAACGCTTGAACTAATTAAAGCAATTTGGCACTCTTCGTCCAATCAATAAGTACGTGCAAATCCACTGAAGAAGTATTCAATTGCCTTAGTGTTTCGACAATGTTTTATACCGATTTAAGTTAGTTTCGTTGTGCTGAAGGACTTTTTAACGAAATTATAAAATTGACGTTATTGCCAAAAACGACAATATCATAAATATCGTAAAAAAGTTGATTGACAAAACTCTTAAAATATGTTCTATAGTAAAAATTCAGATTATCAAATGTCTATTGCACAAATGTAGATTGAACCCGCTAGTTGATATCAAACTATAATAGGAATCAAATTGTAAAGGTAGAGGAAAAAAAGGTTATTGTATTAAGTTTAAAATAGACTATATTCAAAAAAGCGTACGATTTGAAGTAGTGCTTAAGCAAATATGATCAGATGAAACATGATAAATAGTCAAAAGAATGTTAATTGTATCCCCTCATAACTGAATTCAGCCTCTATAATTTAGGTGTTGTTGAGCTTGAAATACTGCATCTGATTAGTCGATTATTTTTTTAAATCTAAAAACAAGTAGACTTATTTTAATTTCTTCCTAAATGGCAATCAAGCAAACATATTTAACAAATTTTATTTTGGCTGTAACCTATGCAATATAAAATGAATAATGGAAGTACTATTATGAGATTAAGATGGAATTATCTGTGATTTTATAAACATCAGAATTCGTATTCCCTCTCTGCTGAACTAAGTTAAACTTTTATCGTTTCAACCACTCAGCCAGAATTAAAGGCCGATTAGTTTTTTGAGGTCAAGTGCATATCCATTATTTACTTATTCACTATGCATCTTTTCGTTTTTTTTACGGTGATTGCATATTTTTATAGAGTTACATTATAGTTATTGTTTTCAGTTGAAATTTTAGAAAGAAAGTTTGTAAGATACTATTTCAAGATGGATACGAAATTATAAATAGCTATTTGACGATTATTACTAAAATAATTGCTCTAAAATTCATTTACTATATAAAAATAGTTCACAATTTAGATTCAAATTAAAATATATAAATCAGCTCTTCAATTTAACCCATTGGTTTTATTGTACATAAGGAAAGACTAGCATAATTTGAGATAACGTAACACAAATTGACATTACTCAGACGATTAATTAAATCCAAGGAAAACACTAATTTAATTGAGATGATCTTCCGAAGTTGTATTTAATATGTGTTCAGATTATCTTAAAAAAATATTAATTATAAATGAAATGTCTTATCTCAATTTCTGAAAATTTAGCATATTGTATGAAAATATTGCGGATATAAGGTATTAGAAAGATTAAACATTTTTTCCCACTAAATGCTATATTAAATAATAAAATAAAATTAAGCATACGGCCTGTATGTGCTATTTTGGAAATGGAGACTTAAAATCAAAGTACAAAGAGTGAAATTCGGATTGGCTGACAAACTTAACCTTAAAGAAATTATTCGAAAACTTTTCAATTGGCTATATTATTGCTATTTTTTTCTCATAAATTTATTTATTTCAAATAGCAGGCGTTTTGATAGCTATCATTAACCATTAAGCTGACTTCGGGCTTCACAGAGGGAAGGTTCATCAAAGTAGCAGAAAGTCGAGGGGCGGGGAACAGAAGAGCGATTCACAGATGTAAAGGAGGCAGACAGACACAATTTAGGGAAAAGTTTAGATGAGTAATGTGAAAAGGGGTCGAATTTGACAAGCATTCGAGCCATGG